TAATACATTTGTTTTATGTTTGAGGTGTAGTGACAAGGTCTGTAATCATTATGGTCTTTGAGTCTAATTTATTTGATATAAAACATTAGGAAGCATTTGGCCAGATTGAGATGTAGATATTTTTGATACTTGAGGAAAAAGAAGACTAATTGTTTTTATGCACTATGAAATATTAAATTTACATAATGGCATTTATAAACTGTGGTCAGTTTTTAGGACAATTTTCCACTAGGCGAAAAGAAATATTAAGCAAATTGAGCATTAAAAAAAAAATAAAAGTAAATGTGAGTGCTTTTAATTGCAATGCAAGATACTATATTTGAAAACAGAAAAACTCACTGCCATCCAGTCATTTCTGACTCACACGACCCCTCCTTGGATTTCTGAGGCCATATGGAAGTAGATTGCTCAGTCTCCCTTCCAAGGAGTGATTGGGGGGTTTCGACCCCTGGCCTTCTGGTTTACAAGTGAATATATCAGACTACACTGTGCTGAGAATCTCTGGGTGGTGCAAAAGATTAAATACTAAGTGTTTGACTAATAGCCAACAGGCTGGTGGTTCAAACACACCCTGAAACACCTCAGAAGTTGGGCCTGGTTTCTGCTTCCTATGGGGCAGGTGTACTCTGCACAATTGAGTCTCCATGAGTCACAATCAATTCAGTGGCAACTAACAATAACAACAAGGCTGTATTTATGTGTTTAAAGAAATTTAGATTTATAAACTGAGTAACTTGAATACTTAAAAAAAAAAAAAAAAGGAAAAAGAAAATGAAGTGAAAAGCAAGTTATAAAGCAGGGTACTTTTGGGCCAATAGTGCAGATAATATTGTTGACCTAGTATTTGTCTTTCAGTTAAAGAATCTAATATATTGACAGAAACTTGATCTAAGGCATCACTATACTAAAAAGAAGGGTCAAGGGAAAGTAGAAATCAGGGAAGTAAGAGTGGGAGAGCAGGTAGGAAGGGGAGGCCTAGGAAGTGATTAAATTAGGGATTCAGGGAAGGGAGAAATGGCTTTTTTAAAGTTTTACTATGGACCTTATTTTTCCAGAAGTATATCACACATCTCAGATTAATATTTTTTCCGTTGCTTGAGCTGACTGTAATCAGACATGCAATCAAATCCTCTTGGATTTGAGGGTGAACCCAGAATTCTGTATGTGTATTAATGTATTGTTTCAGCAATAAGAAGTCTCTTTTTCTTTTGGAAAGCATGCAAGTCAGCTGTCAAAGAGCATACTGGAGTTCCTGTTAAAATTAGAGCAAAAGAGTTTTATTGAAGGAGTAGTATGGTCCAGATTGGGTAGCACTTGTGAGGATTCACAAATGTACTGCATGGATAGGAAATTTTTAGTTTAAGAACAGAAAATCCAGGAATTTACAAGGACAAAATTCTGAGTGTGCGAGGATAAAGATTTTGTTTCGTTAGATCTAGACTAAAAATCTCTATTTTAATTAAGATGCCATTTCTTTGAAGCCTGGCTTCTACCTTGTGTTACAATTAACTTGTCTCTCTAAATTACAGTTATCAGTTCCTGCTACATCCTGTTACCTAAGACAGAGCCTTCTATGTCAGTAAAGTCTTCTGGGCCAGACTTTAGGACCAGCCACGTGGGCTTTGACAAACTCCAGTGGAGTCTCTTAAGGATTACCTGATTGCTGGGGACTAACAGGAAACATTCCTCTCTTAATTACCCATTGCCCTAATATTGCTTAGGAGGAGCTCTTGGTGGTGTAGTGCCTAAGGCATTTGACTGCTAACCAGAAGGTTGGTGGTTCAAACTCACCAGCCACTCCTCGGAAGGCAGACTGGGCAATCTATTTCTGTAAAGATTTACTGCCTTGGAAATCTGTTGGGAGTCTCTCTGAGTCAGACTTGACTCGATGGCAGTGAGTTTGGTTTTGGTTTAATACTGCATACGTGCTGTGTCTTTTTTATTTAGTGTAAGAACCCAACTGTAAGCGCTGAGTAGAGCTGGTAATTTTGGAGTCACTGAGACCTTGTCTGTCTCTTGTTGCTAAATACCTCCTAATTAAACTCTCCTTTTCTCCTTGAACTCCGTCTGGTGTGGACTACTGGATGCACAGCTCCAGGGCCTGACCCTGACATTTTTGGGGTTACAACTGGTTAGCATTTACAGAATCATGCTTTAAGGAACAGAAGACAATGGTGAAATCCCTTAAACATTATTTTGCTAATCTTAATGTTTGAGCCACTGAACAGCTTAATCTAAGGATATTTTGAGGGCCAGCCTGAATGAATGTTTTTCCTGGGAACATGTGTGAGAGGAAGGGAGAGGCAAGAAGCCTGTGGGCTTCCTGTGGTTGGCTGGCTACCTGACTTTTTGAAAGTCAGCTCAGAATAAGCAGTAAACAGCAAAAATAGAGCCAGCCTGCATCTCAGGCAGAAGTTTCTCCTTATGCTATGCATCTAGTTCTTTTGAGCTCCTTCACAAGATGAAGTGGAATTTGATATACTTTAAAGGAAAACAAAAAAACTATGACATTTCTTTCTATCTATGTGCCAACATTTCTGACCATGTTGCAAAGGGAAAACTGCACATTGCATTTGGTCATGGAATCTATGCTTTCCAAATAATAGATATGATATAAGCCTACTGACCTTGAAGATTCAATAAAAATAGTTCGCAAAGTTACAGCATTAGGACAGCTGGAATTAGGACAGGGTTAAAGAGAAAAGAAATTGGGTACACAAGGGAACTGAAAATGGCGTGTATAAAGAAAGTTAAAGAAAGAAAAAGAAAAAAAGAGGGAAATCTAGAGTTTAAAGTCTAAATGATGTTGTTACGAAAAGAATATCACTCTTGCGGAACACTTAATTCAAGAATTTAAAATTGTAGTAGAGGCTGGCTTTTCTGAAGTGTATTCACTGGCCCTTTGCACCCCCACAGTGCCACGATAAGGGATCTGAGTACTAAAGAACTGCAGGAATTGTAAGGGAGCTGGTTTTTCTTTTTTTTTTCTTAATAACCTTTCTTGCTTTCTCTTTTCTGCATCAGATGTGCCTGATAACTTCTACTTATAGATGCTCTTCATAGTTCTACTATATTATGTAGAGTTCTTGTTAAACACTTTAACTTCAGTTTCCCAAGAGGTGGAATTTTTATGGAAATGACTACCAAGAGTTCTGAAATAAAGTCTGGATTCCTTTGTATTAGCTACTCCCAAGGTAGGAAATCATTAACTAGAAATCTAATTGCAGTTAATGTTATATAATTTTTTTTTTTCTTTTTGCTAGTTTGGGACATATTTTAGCAACATGCTCAGCGGTTTTCTCAACAATCTATTAAATAACCACATTACTAAACATATACATTGGAATTTTGTGAACTTTTTTTTTCTTTATAAAGGGCAATTTGAAACTTCACTAATGAAAGTCACTATTTTGTAAGGCATAATCTGCGCCCTTTATGTCATAAAGAGTTTGTGCATTGGTTTCAGATTGTCATAGCACAGGGGTTAGCAAACTATAGCACAGAGACCAAATCAGGCCAGCACTGGCTATGTGTGTCCAGCCCACAAACAAAGAATTTTTAAGTCTTTATATTTTTTAATCATTGGGAAAAAGAATCATGCTTTTCCAAAGAATATTTTGTGACATGTGAAAATTTTATTAAATTCAAATTTCTGTGTTCATGAGTAACATTTTGCTGGAACATATCTACATTTGTTTATGTGAAAATGAAGGTTTGCAAACTTTTTATGTAAAAGACTAAATACTAAATATTTCAACTTTGTGGGGCATATTTTCTGAGAAAACTATTCAAATAGGATTCCTACATTCCTGATGCCATGTTCTTTTTCAAGTAGTACTCTTGTCTGATGATGGACTCAGCACACGCAGACTGAATAAATATGGTGAAAGGCTACAATCCTAGTGCTTACCTTTCTTGATTTTAGACATTTGCAAGGCCAAAATTTCATCTAACACATGGCAGCTAAGACAAAATCTATTCTGAATGAAGGTGGTTCTCGGGGCTTAAATTAATCCACAATTTAACTACTTTTTCCATAATTTAAACAGCATCCAGAACTAATTCTAAACTTAATGTTTATTACTGTAGAATGGAGAAAATTGGAAATTTTTTTCATCATTAAAAACCCTCTTATATCAGAGAGTACATTACTCTTATTTATTAAATCTTTAAATACAGAAGAACATGAATCAGAGTGCTTTAAAACAGAATGTATCCCAGCTGCTCAAGATTTTCTTATTTCTTTATGTACTTTTGAAAGCATGGATTAAAAGCTTTGATAGAAAATTTTACAGTAAAATCTCCTTTTATATTTAAAGGCAGTTTATAATAATGTAATAGCTAAGTCTAGGGAATATCAGTGGTTTGGATAACACCTGTGAAGTTATTATAAAAAACACTGTCAACTTCAGAACACCTATATGGCCTTAACTTTCCAGAAAATTATTCTGGGCTGGATTTCCAGCCATTTCTGAATTATAACTTCTGAAAAGGTCCTGCAACTACAGATTACAAAATTTTGTAGGATCTCTGAGATATTCTTATGAATAGTCTGATCCACTAGTTAAATAATTTCATAATCACTGGTATGTAAGTTCAGCTTGACTTCATCAAGTTCATTCTGACATTTAAGATATGTTTTTGGTGAGGTAGAAAATAAAAATTTGCTTGTCTTTTTGGTAATAATATTCTCTAAAAATTTAGCAGTTTATTTCAATATTCCAAGTTGATTTTCTGGGTACCTGAGGACGATCTGATTTATTAGGTACACTTTTAGTTTCTAACCCCCATGGGCACATAGATAATACTAGTGCTTAGTCCCTTTTCATGTCAAACTGCTTATCAAAGTGCATTTACCAAACCCTTCTCTTACACACGTCCCTTTTATATTCTTTAGCTCTTATTTCAGTATTAAAGCATCTCACAGGACATCATATTATGCTTTAAAAATCATTTTATTTCTAAGGGAGGTAAGCATACTTATACCAGATATAGGAGCCTTAGGGCTCTTTCTGGTGAGGTTGTAAGGAAGATGTGGAAATATTGTTAGACCGGGAAAACACCTTTGACAGAGCTGAAGATACCTTCGCCAGCATTTTAGATCCTTGTGTGGCAACATTAGACTTGGTAGTTTCTGTGGACAAACCAAAAAAGGAACATAGACATTTATTAGACATTTTAGTTGAAGTAGCCATAAAACCAAAACTAGGGGATTAATGATTTAATAAAACATGAAAAAACATACGATAGTAAAGAGTCTTATTTTCTTAATTTCAGTACGTGACAATGTTCATGTCTATATCTTTTGCCAGTAGCTGGTTTATTGCTTTTAAGTAAGATAACCGTCTATAGTTAAAGCTCAGGTTACCCATCTCATTGCCATCGTGTCAACCTTGGCTCATAGCAACCTTATAGGACAGAGCAGAGTTGCCCCATAGGATTTCCAAGGCTGTAATCTTTACAAAAGCAGACTGCTACATCTTTTCCCCATGAAGTGGCTGGTGAGTTTGATCTTTTGATTAGCGCTGAGCTCTTAACTACCGCACCACCAGAGCACCTTAAAGATAATAGATGTTGTTACTGTTGTTGTTACGTGCTGTCAAGTTGGACCCAACTCACAGCGACCCCTCCTTGGGTTTCCAAGGCAGTATCACTACAGAAGTAGATTGCCCAACCTTCCAACAGATACCAAATATAAATATAAATATAAATAAAAAACTAAAAAGTTTGTTCATTTTGAAAAGAGCTGTTACTTCTAAATAATAAGAACCTCCCAGTAAGAACCTAAAAAGTAAAAAGTAAAGATAAAATGTGAAAAGACAAAACCCCAAATCTATAATACAAAAGACAAAGTTGCATGAGGAATAGATGTAAAGTTTGAAAAAGCAAGATGAAAATTTTCAGTAACAGCATAGAGGAATTCAGACTACAGTCTGAAATTCTCATCAGAGGAGAAAAACATTCTGGCTGCACTTCTTCCAGGACAGATTTGTTAGTTCTTTTAGCACTCCATGGTACTTTCAGTAGTCTTTGCCAACACCACAACTCAAAAGCATCAACTTTTTTTGAGTCTTCCTTATTCATTGTCTAGCTCTCACATGAAGTTCTCTATTCCTGAAACACGAGAAGCTTATTAAAAATGCAGATTCCTGTCCACTATTAACCAGAGATGCTAACTGAGCCAGTCTGTAAATGGCCCAGAAATCTTAATTGTTAGTAAGTATTCTCGGTGATGCTGATGCAAGCGGTTCCTGGATAGACACTGAGAACATTGTTGCAAATGTGCAGTCAATATTATATTCCTGTGTACTGTTCAAGACCGCCAGATGGCTCATGTCTTAGGTGAACAGCACATGTAAAGCACATCTCTAGAGTGGAAAGTGATTGCTCTTGGCTTCCAGTTAATCTTGTCAAAGCAAAACTAAAGGTTATACTTCGTCACTGTTGTTGTTGTTGTTTGTTGTTATGTGCCATCGGACCAGACTCATAGTGACCCCTCCTTGGGTTTCCAAGGCGGTATCTCTGCAGAAGTAGATTGCCCAATCTTCTTTCCGAGGAGTGGCTGGTGGGTTTGAACTGCCAGTCTCTGGTTAGCAGTCAAGTGCCTTAGGCACTATGCTACCAGAACTCCTGAGGAGTGGCTAGTGGTTTTGAACCATCAGCCTTCTGGTTAGCAGTCAAGCACTATCCAATATATATTTCCCATTCTCAAATGCAATGGCAACTAGATGGGACCACAGTTGGAGAGAAGGAAGAGTGTTGGATGACAGGCAGAAGACCTTGTTTTGAGCCTGGCTCTGCCATTTGTTAAACTCAATTTTATTTCTCATTTGTTATGCAACCTCAATCAGATTATTTACCTCTATTTTTTCTTCTCTAAAATGAGACTTTAAGACATGCTGAGGGAGAATGGTATGGTGCAGGGGACTTAGCCAAGTTTGGCCCACAAAGAATTTCACAAAAATTTTGAGTTATTTGCTAACATTTAAAAGTCAAGAGTTTAATTTTAAGTGGTTTTAAAAAAGTTATATGTGATTTCTTTAAAAGTGATTTTTAAATTGCAGAAAACTTAGATTTCTAGCTTCTCTTGAAAAATTGGAAGCTCTGACAACAATTCAACATGGCAAGTATTGGAGTTGAGTAGTGTTGTTGTTGTTGTTGATAGGTACTGTTGAGTCATCTCCGACACACAGCGACCCTATATACAGAAGAACGAAACACTGCCCGGTCCTGTGCCAGCCTTATCATCCTCACTATACCTGAGCCCATCGTTACAGTCACTGTGTCAATCCACCTTGTTGAGGGCCTTTCTCTTTTTTGTTTACCCTCCCTCCACTTTACTGAGTATGATATCCTTCTCCAGGGAATGGTCTTTTCTGACAACATGACCAAAGTAGGTGGGATGAAGTCTGGACATTCTTGCTTCCAAGGAACATTCTGGCTGCACTTCTTCCAGGACAGATTTGTTAGTTCTTTTAGCACTCCATGGTACTTTCAGTAGTCTTTGCCAACACCACAACTCAAAAGCATCAACTTTTTTCGAGTCTTCCTTATTCATTGTCTAGCTCTCACATGAATATGAGGTGACTGAAAATACCATGGCTTGGGTTAGGCACACCTTCGTCTTCAAGGAGACATCTTTGCTCTTCAGCACTTGAAAGAGGTCTTTTGCAGCAGATTTGCCCAATGCAATACATTGTCTGATGTCTAGACTGCTGTTTCCATTGGTATTGATTGTAGAACCAAGTAATATGAAGTCTTTAACAACTTCAATCTTTTCTCCATTTATCATGATGCTGTTTTTTGGTCCAGTTGTAAAGATTTCTGTTTTCTTTATATTGAAGTGTAATCCATACTGCAGACTTGAGTCTTCAATTTTCATTAGTACATGCTTCAAGTCATCCTCACTTTCAGCAAGCAAAGTTGTGCTGTCTTCCCCCAATCCTGATACCATGTTCTTCTTCATACACTCCAGCTTCTAGGACTTTTTACTCAGCATATAGCTTGAATAAGTATGATAAAAGGATACAACCCTGATGCACTCCTTTTCTGATTTTAAACCATGCTCTATGTGAATCACACCCTCCTGATCTATGTACAGGTTCCTCATGAATACAATTAAGTGCTCTGGAATTTCCAGTCTTCTCAATGTTATCCATAATTTGTTATGATCCACACAATCGAATGCTTTTGTATAGTCAATAAAACACAAGTAAACATCTTTCTGTTATTCTTTGCTTTCAACCAAGATCCACCTCATATTACCAATGATATCCCTCATTCCACATCCTCCTCTGAAGCCAGCTTACATTTCTGGAAGTTCTCTGTCAATATGCTGCTTCAACCATTTTTGAATTATATCTGTAAGATTTTACTTGCGTGTGATATTAATGATATTATTCAATAATTTCCACATTCTGTGGGATCACCTTTCTTTGAAATGAGTACAAATATGCATCTCTTCCAGTCATTTGGCCAGATAACTGTCTTCCAAATCTTTTGGCATAGCCGAATGACTGCCTCCAGCATGGCATCCGTCTTTTGAAACATCTCAATGGGTATTCTGTCAGTTCCTGGAGCCTTGTTTTTTGCCACTCCCGTCAGTGCAGCTTAGACTTCTTCCTTCAATACCATTGGTTCTTGATCATATGCCACCTCCTGAAATGGATAATCATTGACCAATTTTTTGGTCCAGTGACTCTGTGTATTCCTTCCATCTTCTTTTGATGTTTCCTGCAACATTCAATATATTGCCCATAGAATCTTTCAATATTGCCACTCGAGGTTTAAATGTTTTCTTCAGTTCTTTCAGCTTGAGCAATGCTGAGCGTGTTCTTCCCTTTTGGTTTTCTAACTCCCAGTGTTTGCACATTTCATCATAGTAATTGGCTTTGTTTGTTCGAGCTGCTCTTTGAAATCTTCTGTTCAGCTCTTTTATCTTGTCATTTCTTCTATTTGCTTTAGCTACTATGCACTCAAGGGCAAGTTTCAGAGTCTCTTCTGACATTCATTTTGGTCTATTCATTCTTTCCTATCTTTTTAATGACCTTTTGCTTTCTTCATGGATGCTGTTCTTGATGTCATCCCACAATTCCTCTGGTTTTCAGTCATTAGTGTTCAATGTATCAAATCTATTTTTCAGATGGTCTCTAAATTCAGGAAAGATATAATCAAGGTCATATTTTGGCGCTCATGAACTTCTTTTAATTGTCTTCAACTTGAACTTGCATATGAGCAGTTGATGGTTGGTTCCACAATCAGCTCCTGGCCTTGTTTTGGGTGAAGATATTGAGCTTTTCTATCACCTCTTGGCAAAGATGTAGTCAGTCTGATTCCTGTGTACTCCATCTGGCAAAATCCACATATATAGACACCATTTGTGTTATTGAAAAAAGGTATTTGCAATGAATAAGTTGTTGGTCTTGCAAAATTCTATCATGCAATCTCTAGCATTATTTCTATCACCAAGGTCATATTTTCCAACTACTGGTGATTCTTCTTTCTTTCCAACTTTTTCATTCCAATCACCAGTGATAATCAACACATTTTGATTGCATGTTTGGTCAATTTCAGAGTGCAGAAGTTGGTAAAAACCTTTAACTTCCTCATCTTTGGCTTTGGTGGTTGGTGCATAAATTTGAATAATAGTAGTATTACCTGGTCTTTCTTGTAGGTGTGTGGATATTAACCTATCACTGACAGCATTGTACTTCAGGATCTTGAAATATTTTTTGGGAATTATGAATGCCATGTCATTCCTCTTCAACTTGTCATTCCTGGCCTAATAGAGCATATGACTGTCTGGTTCAAAATGGATAAAAGCAATCCATCTCAGCTCACTAATTCCTAGGATATCAATCTCTATGCATTCCATTTCATTTTTGACAACTTCCAATTTTCCTAGATTCATACCTTGTACATTCCATGTTCCGATTATTAATGGATGCTTGCACCTGTTTCTTCTCATCATGAGTTGTGCCATATTTGCAAATGGAGGTCCTGAAAGCTTTTACTATATTCACATTATTAAGGCTGGGTCTACTCTAAGGAGGCAGCTTTCCCCCAGTTGTATTTTGAATGCCTTCAGACCTGAGGGACTCATATTCCAACACTATATCAAACAATGTTTTAGGGCTATTCATAAAGTTTTCCAGTAATATATCGGATCATGTATCACTGCTGTTGTTGTTATGTGCCATTGAGTTGGACCCAACTCATAGTGACCACTCCTTGGGTTTCTGAGACAGTATCACTACAGAAGTAGATTGCCCAACCTTCCTTC